ATAGAGGTGAACAAAATGATCAGAGGTATAGATAGAGTGGACAGCCAGAGTCTTTTTCCTAGGGTGGAGGTAGCTTTTACGAGGGGACATAGTTTTAAAGTGAAAGGAGGTAGATATCAGGGAGACATCAGAGGTAGGTTCTTTACCCAGAGAGTGGTAGGGGCGTGGAATGCATTGCTGGAGAGGGTAGTGGAGTCGGCCTCATTAGGGGCATTTAAGTGGCTATTAGATAGGCATATGGATGATTAGTGTGAGGTAGCGGTGGAGGTTAGATAGACCTTAGGTTTAGGGTAAAAGTTCGGGCTGAAGGGCCTGCACTGTGCTGTACTGTTCTATGTTCTATGTTCTAACATCCTGTTCAATACATAAGTAAGGCTAGCACTAACACTTCTAGGCCAATTAATTCAACCTCAGCAGTGGGGAACCTTTTGAAAGCGATATTCCAAGACAAAACTACCAGTAATTTGCTCAAATGTGGATTAATAAAAGAAAGCCAACAGGGATTATTATGTTATACGCTCATGAGACGTAGACATCACTGGCTGGCCAAGCTTAATTGCCTTTCCCTAGTTGCTCTTGAGAGCTGCCATCTTGAATTGCTCCAGTCCATGTGCTTTGGGTTGACACAATACTCTTAGGGAGGGAATTCCAGGATTTTGACCCAGTGACAGTGAAAGGCCAAGTCAGGATTGTGAGTGGCTTGAAGAGGAACTTGCAGGTTGTGGTATTCCCCTGTATTTGCTACCCTTGTCCTTCTACATGGAAGTGATCATGCATTTTGAAAGTCCTGTCTAAGAAGCTTTGGCAAATTTCTGCAGTGTATCTTGTAAATAGTAGCAGCAGTGTGTACTAAGCGTCAGTGGTGGAGGGAGTAGATGATTTGCACCATATGCACAAGCAAGTTGACTGCTTTGTGCTGAATGGTGTTAAGCTTCTTGAGTGTTGTTGGAGCTGCACCCATCCAGGCAAGTGGGGTGTATTCCATCACACTCCTGACTTGTGCCTTGTAGATGGTGGATAGGCTTTGGGGAGTCGGGAGGTGAGTTACTTACCTCTGTATTCCGAGTGTCTGACCTGCTCTTGTAGTCAGTGTGTTTATGTGGCAAGGTCACATGAATTTCTGGTCAATGGTGCCCCCCAGGATGTTGATAGTGGGGGGATTCAGTGATGGTAACACCATTATCTTATTGGAGATGATTATTGCCTAGCATTTGTATGCCATGAATGCTTCTTGACACTTGTCAGCCTAAGTCTGGATATTGTCCAGACCTTGCTACATTTCACACGATGTGTCTGAGGAAATGTGCTTCTGTTTGATTGGAGATAAGGTTTGATTTCAGAATATGCAGAACCAAAGAGAAGATGGCCCTGTGAAGCAAATTGGAGGGTGAGGTGGTGGGAGGTGTAAGAGGGGAGACAGGAGCAAAGGTGAAGTAAGAACCCCAGATTGTTTGTTTGTGATCAAACACACACAAGTTACATAAAAGTAAAATAAATTCTCAAAAGACCAGATAATCTTTGCTATTGTACATTGTTATCGCCCATAGAAGCTAAGGCATTGGGCTAGCTGCTTTTGATCAGTATATCAGAACATAAAAATTGAATCACAGAAATGCATCTTATAACAATGACTGTCTAGGTAATCATCCATTAATACAATTTGTACTATTTTACCAGATGCAAGATAACTGTTGCATTTCCCTGTGTACCAATAACTGTATAGGAATACATATAATTAATGTTGAAGCACTTTAGGATGTCCCAAGAAATACCTAAGCAATATGTAAATGTAAGTCCCTCCTCCACTTCTTCTCTCATCTGTACAGCTGACAGTTATCATTGAGGTTATCTGCTCCCTACCTTCCTTTTATATCCTTAAATACATGATTCCTCAAAAACTTCCCAATAGTTGTATGGTCTGTTGACTAGTCATTTCTGGCCCAACTGTGTTTAGGATCATTAGTGTTTAACTAATTTGATTGAGTTTTTTGAGGAAGTAACAGAGAAGTTTCATGGTACATTTGCTGTACCATGGACTTTGAAATCATGTTTGATAAAATACCATGTAATAGGCTATTCCAGAATATTGTGTACAATTGTAGGCATGATATTTCAGAAGGTGGTGAAGACCTTCAGGAGGGTGCAGAAACAATTTAGGAGAATTGATCCTGAATGAGGAACATCACTTACAATGAGAGATTGGAGAAACCGAGATGGTTCTCCTTGGAGAAGGGAATGTTGAGAAGATTTGATTGAAGTGTTCAGAACCCTGAGGACAGAGAGAATAGGGAAGAACTGCTCCTATTGGCAGAATGATCTGGAACCCAACAACTTTGATATCAGGTGATAGGCAAAAGTACCAAGTGTAACATGAGAAAAAAATATTTTTTCACAACAAGTGGTCTGGATCCAGAATGTACTGCCTGAAAGTGTGATGGAAGCAAGTTCAGCCATTGCTCTTAGAAGGGAATTGGATAAATCCTTAAAAAATAATGGTTGGGCTGTGGGAAAGGATGATGGGTATGAGATTTGCTGGACTTGCTCTTGTAGAGAGGTAGTGTGGGCTCTGTGCCTAACCATTCATTATTTATTAACAGTGATCCTGAATGTGCTCATCCTTATTCTCCTTTTGTAGATTAAGGAAATGAGATTGTCATTGAAAAATGTTATAGTTAAATCCCTCCCTCTCCACCTGGATTCATTGAATGGAAGAAGCCTCATTTACTTGGGCAAACATTATATAGTTATTGTTGTAGGTCTGACAGGCTCAAAACAACATTCTAACAACCTGCAATCCACAGAAGCCAAAGAGGAACCTTATTTTAAACTGTGCTATAACTGGCCTTCCTGCAGCTATGTATCCCTGTACGATGTACTCCAACAGGCTCCCATCTGGAACACGTCAAATCTCACTTATTTTTTTGATGTTCCTCTTAGCTGCAGTTTCATGTCAAAGGTGCAAATCCAAACCATGAATCTGACCTTATTAGGTAACTAACCTAGTAGCCATCTGAAACAAAACGCAAGAATAGGTAGCTTGAAAAATGATGAAGACACATTGGATTGTCAAGGCATTGTTGGACTGTGGCATTCAATCTGACTTGTACAATCCTGATCTGGGTCTGCCTCAGACTCCAAGAACAAAAAACACATTCTAATACATAACGTTATTCCAGTGTGTTGTAGACATTACAGGTCACTGAGGAATTCCAGCTCTCGAATTCGGGAGCCTTTCAATTCACATAGTCAGTTTAATTTTTAAAAATGACCTGTTAGATCGGAAAACCCAGAGATTCATGTACTTTTGCATTTTCAAAAAATGCTCCAAAGTCTTTGAATTGAATTGACAACTGATTTCATTTAGACAACTGGAGATTGGAAAATGGCGAACTATTTTTTAGTATTGTTTCAATAAGCAGTGAATTCCTGACAACCATGAGACAATTCAGGGAGCAGGAGGGACCTATACGTGCTAGACAAGAATTGTAAGAGTAGAAAAAACTGCAAGAACAGGTGGGATCACAAAATTGTCAGAATGATTCCAGACGCCAGATGATGGTGGATACATCAGATTGATTCTTTACCTCAGTTTATACAAAGAGTGTACAAAGAATGCAGGCAGTTCACAGTCAATGTCATGGTGTTCAATGACTCTAAAGCACATTGAAAGCACACTAAATGCTGTCATCAACATAAGCTTCCATTAAATATGCAGAATCTGACAGTTCAAAGTAAATCTTTGACTCCTCAAGAAATTAAGGAAGGAGACAATGGTTCTGTTTGTATTTTTCAGAACATCATAACACTGGAGGAGTTATTGAAGACAGCAAGATGCAATTGTAGATCTGATACAGGCAAATGTAAACCCAGCTTAACATTTTCCAATATACATTGTGTGACAAAAGAAGTTGGGCCATTGGAAGAGCACAGTGTGAGAGGCAGTTAGCAGCACTTTCAAAGTTACAAACCTGCTGTAATTTTTTTTGTTGAACGATCTGGGGAGGAGGTTGAATATGGGGCAATGAGATGGCTGTGACTGAACTAGTGAACCAGGATAATCAAATGGTTATAGTTCATTTGTAGATTCCCAAGATATTCAGCAAAGTTCCTCCATTAAAACTCACAAGGAGACTTCCAGATCCTTGAATAATTGACAAGTTGCCCACATTGATTGAAATCTTTCTTGGCAGCAGAAGATGTAGTGATAAGTGGGAAAGGTTCATTCTGGGAAAGAAATCAGCCAGCAGATCTCCTCTGGGATCTGTTCTGGAGCCTTGCAATTTACAACATTAGTGAATGATGCGGGGCAGACTGGAGAGATGTCAGTAAAATGTAAATATCCATAACTGTAACAAAATAGATTCAGGAAGATATATTGGTAAATGTATATCATGTCATTTGGCCCTATTTTGTGGCAGATGAATGGAATTATGGGCAGGGTTATCTTGATGTCATTAGGTTTCCGCTTAAGCTGACGTCATAAAGAATTTGGAATCATGTCTTCTGGAGGTCCCAAAGAATCTCAGACCCAATGAATGAATTCTAAGTTCACCCCAAATCATTAAGCTCCTGAGTGAGGAGGGGTGAACTGGTCCCCCTTTATCGTACACCTGTCCTCTCGGCTGGTCAAAACAAGGTTCATTTGACAGGATACCTTCCCTTGTGGATGATTTTCTCCCAGACCCAAATAAATTAGGAGGAGCCAATTTAACCCGACTTTTTTGAGTTAACAAAAGGAGTTAGGTATCGTTCTTGGGGCTAAAGGAATTAAAAGGCCTGGGGAGAAAGCAGGAACAGGATACTGATTTGGAAGATCAGCCATGGTCGTATTGAACAACGGAATAGGTGCAAAGGACTGAATCACCTGCTCCTGCTTCTATTTTCTATGTTTCTAAAAGCCAGGAATATTTTTTCTGTATTTTTGTATATGTGATGACATGCTAAAGTGCAACGTTTAACCGGTGCTAGTTTTACTTTCAGAATGTATGAACTGCACCAAATTTGCTGAACTACAGGAGAGATTAAATACTCTGGAGAATAAGGTAAATAAACTTGTTCAAATTCAGAAAAATGTTTTACATGTTCCCTGACTTACGGTGTAATGTAAGCAATGCACATGGAGTGTGGAGTCATTTCCCATGCAAGATATGTTAAATGTTCAAATGTTCAATCATTCAAGAGCAGAACTAAGTTTCCATCAAAGGTATGTTTTTACTGCTTTGCAATAAGGTCAAGGCCAGCAGTGGACTTGTTTCAAACTAAATAGACATTCATGTGGAGAGAAAGGTAAGTCATGACTGGCCAGCGGGCAGAGTCTGAAGGGGACATGGGAGGGGTGGGGGGAGGGGGGGAGGGGTTGGCGGGGGAGAGGCTACTGCTATAGCAAGGAGGTTGGTGTACATCCTAGAAAAAGGAAGAGAGAGAGAAGCGTGGAGCAATAGATGCCTCTGACCATAAGGCAGTAAGGGTCGATCCTCATGGTTAGGCCAATAGAAGCACAGAGGTAGCTGTGGAATTCAAGTCTAGGTCAGTGGCAGGAGAACAGGAACGTAGGGGAGAAATGACAGATTGCGGAGAAAACTCAAGAAGGATGAAATGAAAGATAAGATGGGAGTATGAGGAATGACTCATGAGAAATGCACAGACAAAATGCATGCTATTCTCCTGGCTATTATTATGGAATCAGGGATCTTAATAATCCTCCATTAGACACCACATTCTATCTCATCGACACGTAAGGTATGCCTCCAGTGGCTGCATGTGCTCAGGCAGCGAATGTTCCATTTATTCACACTTCTCCTCCAATCATTTCACGTGTGTTCACAGGGGAGGTACAGACGTAGTGGTAATGTCACTGGACTAGTAATGCAGAACCCCATGCAAATGTTCTGAGAACATGGGTTCAAATCCCACCATAGCAGATGGTGAAGTTTGAATTCAATAAGTATCTTAATGATTCCTTTCACAACTTTCACTGGCACCTGGGCCTTCCTGTTTGACTGAGGGAATGTGGAGATGACATGTCATGCTGAATTTCCCAATCATTTCCTGAAGCACTTGCACCTTTCACTTGTGAATTGCAGGCCAATATTGTGCCTGTTAATATCTGGAATTCAGTAATGAGTGAAGTATGTTTTACAATCTCACCGCTAGGCATTGATGTCAGCTGGTCTAATTCCTAGATGAATTGCCATTGATAGTGATGGGATATCAACTTCCTGTCAGGGGGAAGAGCTTGATTCCAAGCTTAGTCCATGCTCCATCTGGGATGTGATTCATCAGCAATGTTGTGATTGTAACGAGGTCAGCCAGGTGGATTTCATTGAATCTGAGTTCTCTGATGGGGGCTGTTAATAGAACATAGAACAGTATAGCACAGGAATGGACCCCAAGGCCCACGATGTTATGCCGTACGTGATGCCAAGTTAAACTAATCCTTTCTGCCTGCCCTTTGTCCATATCGCTCAATTCCTTCTTTATTTGTGTGGTTATCTAAAAGCCCCTTAAATGCCCCTATCGCATCTACCTCGAACCATCACCCCTGGCAGCACATCCCAGACTCCTACCACTCTCTAGGTAAAAAAAACTTGCCCCTCACATCTCCTTTGAACTTTCCTTCTCACCTCAAATGCATGCCCCCTAGTATTAGACATTTCAGCTCTGGGAGAAAGATTCTGACTGTCAACTCTATCCATGCATCTCATAATTTGATAGACTTCAGACCATGTCACCCCTCAGCCTCCACCACTCCAGAGAAAAAAAACCCATGTTTTTCCAGCATCTCCTTATAGCTCATACCCTGTTATCCAGGCAATATCCTGGTGAACCTCTTCTGCACCCTCTCCAAAGCCTCCACATCCTTCCTGTAGTGTGGCAACCGGAACTGAATCCCCTAACCACAGTCTTGTAAAGCTGCAACGTCACTTCCTGACTCTTGTACTCAATTCCCTGACCAATAAAGGCAAGCATGCCATATGCCTTCTTTACCACCCTATCTACTTGTGAAGCCATTTTAATGGAGCTATGGACTAGGACCCCAAGGTCCCCCTGTACATTAATGCTGTTCAGGGCCCTGCCATTAATTGTATATTTTTCCTTAATATTTGATCTCCCAAAGTGCAGCACCTCACACTTGCCTGGATTAAACTCCATGTGCCATTTCTCTTCCCATTTCTGCAATTTATCTGTATCCCCACTGTATCCTTTGACAAACTTCTACACTATCTAAAACTCCCTTGATGTTTGTGTTGTCTGCAAACTTACTAACCCACCCATTTATGTTTTCATCTGAGATATTTATAAATATCGCAAACAGCAAGAGGTCCCAGAACAGATCCCTCCGGATCACCACTAGTCACGTAAGCATTTCTGACATCATGTTATTTGGCTGTTATTTGGGAAGCTTAACTCGTTCCATCCTGCCATCGAAGACTGGGTCCAGTATGTGGAAAGAATTGGCGGGGCAGTCCCCAGAGTGCCAACAAAGACAAAAATTACCATCAGCAGCTGCCCCACATTCATGGGAATGGCCAGGTAAACCCTGGACTCAGTTACACGTTGACTATGTAGGTCCTTTCATGGGCTCAATGTTCTTAGTCATTGTGGACCCCATTCAAAGTGGCTGAATGTCCATGGATTTCATTCGTCAAACACAGGAAGGATGATAGAAAAACTGCGCACACCTTTTGCAATACACAAATACAGTGTATATGTACTGCAGTGACTACACTGCTGCTCCTTCATCTCATTGCTCATCTTTGGCCAATAGACCACTTCTCTTGCCTTCCTCAGATTTGACTCACTTCCTCAATGCCTTGCATGGACATGCCTTTTTCATCTCCATTGAGATAATGACTCCTTTTTTCTTTGTATAGGGCGGCATTATGGATTATCACATCATCTCTGTTCTTTTAACAGCCAGTGCTTTCAGGCCTGCCTCTCATCATGACTTCCTGCAACACTTGGAGAGTTCCATCTTGTTTTGTAGTTTGCTTGATTTGAACAAGACATTTGTTGATAAGGTATCCTGTCTCTGCTGACTTGATGACTTCAAGAGCATGTTGGGATGTTGCTGCTCATTGAATCTGAAAGGTTTCATACTGTGTCTCAGTATCCTCAACATTTCCTCATAGGCAGTGCTCCTTTTGACAACACATTGCTGTGGCTTCCCCAGCTTGTAGATCAAGAATATGAAATAACATTCTTTGTAGCAGCTTTGAAGCAAATCAAAACGATTTGAGAGATTCTTTGAAACAGCTTGTGCTCAGATTCAACTGTCATTTTGTGTCTCCCAAACAAGTATTAATAAAAATGCTCGCAAGCAAAGACAATAACCATGCACTTCTTCTTAAACTGTCTACAGCATTATTTAGTGTGTGTTCACTCCATTGACGCTAATACAGCATGTTGTCCTCAGGGAGATTAATTAGTGATTCCCCATGGGCCTTGTAGGATTTATCATGTCCCTCTTCCCCCAAGTCTGAGTACTCCCCCTCACTCCTGTGACGATGGAGCCTCTTGTGTTGTTTTGCCCATGGCCCTATTCTCATTGCTTTCTGAGTCTGGTTGGGGGTTGTATAACAAGAAGGCGAATGTGTCTTCTGTGAAGACCATCGAAAAGTCATTGCAAGGGCTCATCCTTGGTGGCGCATCCGTTGAAACAATTGCTCTGTGGAGGGTTCCTGCTGGAGGTGGTCGACGTGTTTTCTTCCTGTTTTTGCAATCTTCTCACTGGTTTTGACCATGTCCGATACTGGGCCCATTTTTTAAGGATAACTCCCAGGATTCCTGGAGTGCCATCACCAAAGTTCCTTATATGGACCATATCTCCCCCTTGTAATTTTTGAGATCTAAGTAAAACTTTGACTCCATTGTGTTCCTTGGAGTTGGAGCCCTTTTTTACGGCTTTCATCTTCTCTTTGTCAGGGTATTCTGCACCTGAGGTATATTACCTCGTTTACCTGACACGTACATTTTTCCCTTTATAGCCAGGTGCCATCCTCAGAAAAATGCCATAAGACCTCCTCCAAACTCTCCACCTGCTCCTTTGCAGTAGCTCCTGAGATTAAAATGTCATCCAGACAGACACCCCTTGGAAGATGTTCCCCATTCCCCTTTCAAAGATGGCACCAGCTGAAGAAATACCCATAAAGGGGAAATGAGTGTGTTCATACAGTCCTCGTGAAGATTTACAGTTTATAGCTTCCTGGATGACCCTTCCTGAAGCACCAGCTGGAGGTAGGCATGGCTCATATTCAATTTAGAAAATATGTGATCCCCCGGCCAGCTTTTCATACAAGTCCTCTCTGTGTGGTAAAGGGTATTTGTCTAAGCAGGAAGCTCTGTTGTCTGTCCCGGAGACAGACCAAGTTGTCAGGTTTTATAACTGGGACTACTGGCGCAGCCTGTTCAGCAAATTGTACTGGACATATGATGCCCAGTTCCTCTAGATGTTTCAATGTGGCCTGTCCTCTTGTGTATAGGGACCAGCCATGCCTTCAAGTATTTCGGTCGGCCTCTAGATCTACAGAGATCCTGGCCCTGGCATCTTTTATCTTCCCGAAGCCCTCTCAGAACACTTTGGGATACTTCCCAATGACTTCATACAGATCCCCAGTACCCATTTTAAAAAGATTTGGGCTCCTGCAAACGGTCTCCCCAAATCAACTTTTGAAACTTCCTGTCTAGTACCATCAAAATTGGCCTTGCCCAATTTTAGAACTTGAAACTTGTGCACCAGACCTATCCTTTTCTGTTACTATTTTCCAACTAATAGAATAATGATCACTAGTCTCAAAGTGCTCCCCCATTAATATCTCAGTCAGTTGCCCTGCCTTATTTCCCAAGAGAAAGTTGAGTTTTGCCCGTTCTGTAGTAGGACCATCTACACATTGATTGCAAAAGTTTTCCTGAACACACTTATCAAATTCTTTCCCATCCAAGCCCTTAACTTTATGGCAGGCCCTTTCTAAGTTTGGAAAGTCAAAATTCCAATTACATTATTCCATTACAACTCTATTATTCTTACAGCTACATATTTGCTCCTCCATTTCTTGCTGACTAATCAGTGGCCTATAGTACAATCCCATCAAAGTGATCACCCCCTTCTTATTTTCTCAGTTCCACCACCCATATCGCTTCACTGGATGATCCCTCAGGAATATCCTTTCTAAGTACTGCTGTGATGTTTTCCCTAATTCTTCCTATGGCATCTGTACCCTGAAACATTGAGCTGCCAGTCCTGACCCTCCCTCAGCCATGTTTCTGTACTAACTGTGAAATTCTTGTCCCATGTTCCCATCCATGTCCTGAGTCCATCTTGCCTTACCTGTCAGGCCCCTTGCATTGAAATAAATGCGGTTTAATTCATCAATCTTCCCTCATACCCTGCTGTGCTCTAGCCTGCCTTGTCTCTTTAAATTACTCTCTTCAACTTCTGGACCAGCCTCAACCTTCGCTTTAGTCTCACTACTGTTTAGAGTCCCACCCCCTGTCAGACTAGTTTAAACTCTCTTGTGTAGCTGTAATAAATCTCCCCATCAAGATATTGGTCCCCGTCCAGTTCTGGCGCAACCTGTCCCTCTTGCACAGATCACCTCTGCCACAAAAGAGATCCCAATGATCCAAAAATATGATTACTTTCCCTCTGCACCAGCTCCTCAACCACACATTCACCTGCCCTATCCTTCTATTCCTATTCTCGCTAACACGTGGCACTGGGAACAATCTAGAGATTACTACCCTTGAGGTTCTGCTTTTTAACCACCTGCCTAACTCCCTATATTCACTCTGCAGGACCTCATCCTTTTTCCCACCTGTGCCGTTGGTACCAAGGGATACAATGACTTCTGGCTGTTGAGAATTTGCTGCAACTGCTCAGAGATGTCCTTGACCCTGGCACCAGGGTGACAACACACCATCCTGCAGTCTCACTCACTGCTGCAGAAATGCATGTCTATGCTCCTGATCAGAGTGTCCTCTGTTACAATTGCTTGCTTGGACTTTGCTGTATCCTCTTTACATGAGAGCCAGTCATGGGGACAAAGTCTGTGCTGCTGCTGCTATTTTCCCCTGACAGTCTACTGTTGAATGGACTCTAGCCTCAAATAATGTAACCTGCAATCTAACCTGTAAAAACCAAAAGAACTGCGGATGCTGTAAATCAGGAACAAAATTT